TGAGAAAAGTAAAAAAAAAAACTTACACAAATTTAACTTCTCAAATAATTAGGATAACAGTTCATGAATAAGACATCACTTTATTGTTTTAAGTCAAGTAATAAAAAATGAACTTGTGCTTGAGGCAAAAGTAATTGAATTTGATCTGTCTATTGCAGATGAATCACCAGTGTGAAGCCTGTAGGCCTTAAGCCTTTAACGAGTTTAATGAAGAATAAACAGATTATCACTAAGAAAGGGAAATAAATCTATATCTTGCTTCAACAGAATGTGTCAACGCACCAGGAATGTGAACTGTCAATCCTTAAACTGGGGTTTAAAGTACTACAATAATCACCTCACCTATTGTATAGGTTCAATCTATCTTTCTGTCTAGCCCAAACACAAAACATCCCTGGATAAAGGGAACAAGTACATTTCTCTGTAGACACATAGATTAGTATCCTATTTGCATTAAATAAAAAATAGGTTTTAGTTAATGATAATGTTATGGTTGCCTCCAGGCTGGCTGGAAGTTGGACCGTAGAAAGGACGCTCCTAGCGCTCATCAAAGGACCATCAGCACCGTAGACACTATAAGCACTGCAGACTCCACGAACCGCCACTGCTGGGCTGGGATCTCGCCATCTGCTATCCACCCTGGACCTTACGACCAGGCTCCAGGTTCCAGTAGGTGCATCTCTTCCTTCTGTAGAGCAAAGCAGAATCAGGAACAAGAGCTCTTACAAGAGCTCAGTAGCTAAGGGAATATGAAGAGCATAGCAATCCCTGTAGTGATTCTAGCTGTCCCCTACAAACATGAGTCGAGGATGAAAGTTAGAGGGTCAAGTAGTTCTGTTTAATTGGCACCAAAGGGCCTTCTTTTATGGTGGTCTTACACATACAGGACCGCCCACAGGGTTTTGCAGAACAACCAATAAACACGTAACATACAGTAAAAACACACCCATCAATAACACATAAATCCTTGCCTCTGCCTGTGATATAATTACTGAACACAATGGGTTAAAGTAATTATCACAGGCAGGCAAAATACACTTTTTATACATACACTGTAACTTTAAAAATATGCGTCCAATCTTCATATTTCAAAATTACATATTCAGAATCAGCATACTTTAAATTTTAACATCACCAAAAATCATACAAATCCCTCCAGTGTATAAAAAGTTAGATGGAAGTCCTTTATGACCGAGCACATTTTCCTGCCCAAAACAGTTCCATAGATTTGGGCTGTGCGGTCGGTCTATTTCAGGCAGAAAAATGACTGTCCCATTTGAATGCACGAACAAGGCCGTTCGTGCATTTGGCTCAGTATAACAGCGAGTGCAAACTGCCGAACGGGACTTAGTCTCTGCGGCTTCAAACTTAGTGTAGGAGAAGGTAAGTGTTCGAATGAACAACGATGGCCACCGCCACGTGTTCGTTTGCATCAACTGCGGCCACCCAGCGGTCGGCAATTTACCTACAGCAGGGGGGTAAATTGCCTACACACTTCCACTTCTGGGTGGTCCGTCTGTGTGGTACTTGGTTCAGTAAGCCCCATTTACTGAACCAAGTGTAAAGAAGCCATGAATAAAGTATTTTACCAAGTCTGGGGACACTGGGGACACAGGCTTAAAGTGGCAGTGTCCCAAACAAATCTGGGGACACCGTCTTAAAGGGGCATTGTCCCAATTTTCCCTATGTCCCAAAAATGTGCTTAAAGGGCCAGCACCAGTCCCATAAAAGTCCATAAGCCCCAATATGCTCACAGACTGTTCTTAAAGGGCCATACACACCAGAGCCATAGTCATGAGGAAATAGGTTGGCAATAAGGCTTCTCCATAATACAGGGAAGCAGGGCAATTTGTCACTTAAAGAGACAGTTACAAAAGGCATTTTGTAACAGATAATCTCAAGTAGACACTATAATGACAACAACAAGAATCCCGGCTGTGCCAAATTTAACAGTCTATATAAATAATAACAATTATAATAACAAAGCTGTGTGATACAAAAGCAAATACAAACACACACAAATAAGCCCTGCTCTCAAACTCCCACTACTCCTGGGTGGCTGCAATGAACATAGTACACATAAGCCCCAATATATACAATAAAACCAAAGAAAAAAGTTACTTGTGCTCTATTCCAAATCCCTGTGCATATTTATAGAAATTGAGGTTTTTAGTAACACTCCAATGTCCATTAAATGTAAGCCCACCTGCCACACTCAAATACTTGCACAAAATATTATAGGCAGTTCTATCAGTTCTAAAACTAGAAAGTTTGTGAAAGTGTTTTCATCACATTATTTAAGGCCTTTATTACAGAAGAGAAACATTTTGTGTGCTGCATGTAACAGATTTATTTTTCTACCTGTATTGCTGGAATATAAATATGGTTTATTACATTGTTGTTTTTCAAGCTCAGCTTGCTCAGAATAGCAATATAATTTAGAACCATGCTTAGCGGTGGGGGTCTATAATAATGATTAAAAAAAAATCTGTAATTTTTGCAGCGTATCTGCTTTATATTCACATGATACTTTTGACATTCACACGCAAGAGTTTTGATTTGTATTTGATATATACATTAATTGCCCTCCTCACTGGGCGAGACTGTTCAAGGGCAGTGTTCTCTGCATGGGCAGCTGGAATAACATGCCGGTTTAGTCTGATCAGAGACATGTTTTCCCTTCAGATTAGAGGCAGTGCTTTACAACCGGGATTTCTAATCTGGAGGGAAAAAACAGGCAGGCAATCCCCAAATTTTTCAAATACCTTCCCCAATTACGTTTTGAACTATAAAGTGCCTCTTACCCCAAACAGCCCTAGTTCTTTGCCTACCTTTGGCAGAGGAGGGTGTCAGATTTTACCCCAGGAGTATGGTAAGAGGGCTGAGGTTCGGGAGGCTCTGCTTCATTTTCTTTACAGATATCCTGCCAGGGGTAAGCACGCCGGACGCCTGCATCTCCATTGTTTTTATTTGGTTCCGTCAATCCATCAGGTGCTGGGCAGACGATGGTGTGCATGCGTGCGCTAGCTGTGAGGTCTTGCAATTTCAAAATACAGGTGTCAAAATATATATATATATGTTTTTAAATTTTGGTTTTCAGGACATGGAGAGGCTGTTTAACCAGCAGCAACTAACGTTTTGCCAGGTGCACTCAGAATCTGTTGCAAGTGTGTTCTCACCTGCCCTCCAACACACTTTGAGGCCATTTAAGGTAAGACTTTTTGCTTTTATCTTATGTGAGTCTAGCCTGAATTGTACAATTTTATTTTTTGTTCAACTTTTCTCTCTCTCTTTTTTTCTCATCAGTATGTCTAATCTTGAGACTGCGGAGAGAGCTTCAGAGAAGGGGAAATGTTCTGCAAAATCTAAACATTTAATCTGCGCTGCATGTTCCCAATCCATGCGAGATGGATATAAGCAAAAGATTTGTTCCAATTGTACTAAGGAGGCTTCTGAGGAAGCAAAGAGATCGGAAATGACTACTTTCCTAAGTTGGTTTCAGCAAAGTCTGCAACAAACATTTGTTAAAATGCAGACTGCAGTCGTTCAGTCTGCTCAGGCCTCTGCTTCCCGAGATTCCGCAGTAAAAAAGCTGACTAAGAAAAGGCCTAGATCCTGGGAATTGTCTGACTCAAGCTCTGTATCTTCTGTGTCAGAATCAAGAGATGAGGATGTAACAGAGCTCCCTGTACCCCAGCTGGTTACCTCCACCAAGGACCGCTTCCTAGCTGGAACAGTGTAGAAAACCTCAACACTCATGCCCTCAGTCATTGTGGCATGACTGGGGCCCTGGAACCGCTCCTTCCTGGAGCCATATGGGAAATTAGCTCTAGTCGTTACAAGGACTTTCCCTGTTGAATCCCTTGCAAGCTGGAACAGCAGACACAGGAGTAAATCTTCTTTCCCTCCAATAACAGGACAACACACAGTTAGTTTTGGAGTGTAAGCTGGAATAACATTTTGATGGAGGTACACTGGCCCTTTATGCAAGTTTCCTAACAAGGGCGACACCCAGGTGGAACTTGTTGGGCACAGGGATACAAACTTCCAAACCAATAACAACACATTTACAATGTAAGGCAATACCACACAAGGCAAACAATCCCTCCCCTCTGCTTAGGAGATAATTGACTTATTTACGGTATCAACTAAATTATCTCCATGCAGAAAAACCACACATTTTTAAAAAGTCCCAAAAGCACCCCAAAACACAGCATATCCCCATAAAAGTCACATCTGCTGATAGCCCTGATCTGGGTAAACAACATATTCAAAAGTCACCCAGACCCCACACCCCCGACAGGAACAGGACATAACTCGCCCCTGGAATGGAGGAAGCGTTTTCCTCCAGGAGAACCCCCAGGGTCCCCGGGACCAGTGGTGACCTACTACCTAGAACCTTGTCCATTAACCTGCAACTAACCCGACTTGGATGACAGAAACCAACCCAACACTATTCAACCCCCCCCCCCTTTTTCTCTTTTTTTTTATCTCTCTCCACTCTTATTCACTTACTCCTCTCTTCTCCAGCCTGACCCCTGCTCACCGCCCTGGAGATGCCGACCCCGGGAGGAATCGGATACGCTCGTGAGGTTCTGGACATTATTACGTATAACGTCCATGGCCTCAATGTCCACGAGAAACGCACCTGCCTCCTCCGCAACCTAAAAAGATATAGGGCCTCTGTGGCGTTTCTCCAGGAAACCCACTTTCAAGAGAGCAGGGCACCCTCTCTGAGAGACCACAACTACCCGCTTGGATTCTTTAGCAACAATTCATTACGCCGCACCCTCGGAGTGGGAATACTGTTCTCCAGACACATTCCCTACATAGAATCAGACACCATCCGATGCAAACACAGCAGGTATAGCTTCACAAAGGGCACCTTACACAGTCAGAAATGCACGTTTGCAAACGTCTACGCCCCGAATTCCAAACAAAACCAATTCTTCTGCACCACATTTAACAGCCTGATGAGATTTGCTGAGGGCATTTTAATAATGGACGGCAACCTAAATGTGACACTTCATCAACAAGACACCTCTTCCCACATGGCTACACCACCAGACAACCGACATGGCAGAACACCCCGCCTCCTCCACCACCACCAACTCACGGATTGCTGGAGGGCACTGAACCCGATGGCCGGCAACTACACCTTTTACTTGCAAACGCACACTTCATACTCAAGACTCCATTACTTCCTGGTCCCACACAACTACCTTACTTTACTTGTAGAGTCCGAAATCTTACCCATGACCTGGTCAGATCATAACCCGGTCCACCTACAACTCAAGTCATACTTGTTCCGACCCCGCCAGTCATCATGGCGATTGAATGAATCGATCCTCTCCGACACTTATATAATTGAGAAGGCCAAACAGGCCATACAAGACTACTTCTCTGCCAATGACAGAGACATCCCAGTTTTTAGAAATAAAAGGCTTACTTCCTGTGAATTTCCATTCCCTTAGAATCAAATCCTTTAACTGTGGATGAAAAGGAAAAACCTAGGATTTCTTTCCTTTGCTCCTGAAGTGTTCCTTATCACCCATCAGACACTGTCCACGGTTGCCTCTTAGGTGTTCAGGTATCGGTCATTTGGCGTACAAACTCATCTGAGTTGATATGGTGTAGCCAGTAGAACCATCGTTGTGAGTGTCTATCCCCAAGGTCAAATATATTAGATTCCCATTTCAAACTTGGAAACTTGACCAGATAAGGCTGTATACATTGATAAGCCAAATCTACTCTCCCCGTGTAATTGCTGTATTCTACAATGCATCTTTGTTTTTCAAGCCGCTCAATTTTTACTCTGACAGACACTGGCACTGTACTTTGATTGTGCATTGCAGACAGCATGTACACATCTTTCTTATCTGTGTACCGAAGGGCCAGCACCTCATCCTGGCATAGAGTTAATTTCTGTACTGTTTCTGCTGAATCCTAGGAATTGGATGATCTGGGTCGGCACTAGTGCTGACTTGAATCCCAAGGATTTGAATAATCGTGCAGCAAAGTTCTTGTGGTCAAGACATGGAGTGGCAGAAAATCAGTAAATCGTCCAGATAAATGATGCACCTTACCCCCATAGAATGGAGACGAGCCATGATCAGTTTTAACAGTTTCTTGAAACACCATGGGGCCGAGCTGAGTCCGAATGGGAGGCAAGTGACCTGGCACGGTTGGCCTCACCAGTTGAAGCGGAGGAACCTTCAGTATTAGGGGTCTACTGATACCGACAGGTAGGCATCCTTGAGGTCCAGTCACCCTTCAGTAGGAGGTCTCGTAGAAGATGAATTCCTTCCATTTTGAAGTGGCGGTAGTCCACAAAGGAATTGAGTTGTCTCAGGTTTATGACTAGGCGGAAGTCCCTGGTCTTTTTCTGAATCAGGAAGATATTGCTGAAGAAACCACCCTCAGCGTATTGTACCGCGTCTTTGGCGAATAGTGAGCGTATTTCTTCATCTATAAGTGTTTTGTGATCCCTGGAAACCCGAAGCGGTGGTGGTAGGGATTGTTGGCAATGAGGGGCGTAGAATTAGATGAGAGAGCCCTGTACCGTCTGCAGGTTCCATGCGTCTGTGGATATCTCTTCCCAGTTCTGAAAGAAAAGGGACAATCTGCCTGCAGTGATAGTATCGGTGTGACAGAATACAAAGGGACCCACCTGTGGTGAAGCATCCTTGGTCTCTACCCCATGAACCTCTGGATCTGGAGGCACCTCTATAGAAGGACGTTGTCCGTGTTGCTGAGGGGGGGGGTAGAAGGAGGATGATGGTGGGTTCCGTCTGGAACCGGTGGGCCCGGCTCTGTTGCTGAACATCCATTCCAAAAACTGCTCTCGCCGGTGGTGGGCGTAACACCTGTCGTAGGGATGACTGGGCGCTATTGAGGGTCATGAATAATGACACATGTCTTTTAATTTCAGCGATGAATGAGTTGCCAAATAATAGGACATTAGCTGTTGGCCCAACTCCTTGGAAGCCATATTAGTAAATTTTGTGTCAATGCATAGGAGGGCGGCTCTGCGTCTTTCGGTGCAAATTGCGGTATTCGTGTTGCCAAGCATGCAAATGCTCCTTTCAGCCCATTCACGAATTGCACCTGGGTCAAGTTGGGTGCCTTGGGTTACTGCCAGGTCTGCAAAGTATAGTATCTTGCCTAGTGGACCCAGTAAGTCTAGCAGCTTGTCCCGTGATTCATTGAGCCCTCTTTCAATGCCCTTGCGAGGGTCGCGTCCCGTCCGGGACATGAACACTGCCATCGTGGGTTGGGGGCATTCCGCCCGTAAGCGAATTTGCACTACCCGGCCTAGGGGTTTCCTGAACCAATAATGTACAAATTTTGCTAGATGAGTTGGAAGGCTCCATTCAGAGGACCGAAGGTGTCTGATAGTCCTGGGGTAAAATAGCCTTCTGTGCCCTCACCCTCCGAGGCAAAGTCGTCTCTCTCGTCATGTGGGAGGTAACCCTCTGCATAGTTGTCTCCTGTGAATCCAGAGTCCGAGAACGGTACATCCTGCCATTCCACGTCAGTCTGATTCTGAGTCTTCTTCCCGCCATTCATCTACCACGTCCAGTGATGTGGGTACATAGTCATCCTCCTCCCCCAATGACAGTGTGGGGTGTGGATGTTCGGTGTAACCCTCTGAGATTATGCAGCAGCCACTTGATTTAAGTATTGACATAGGTAGTGTTTGTACACATACAAATCATGCAGCATACGGTATTAGACAGTTCAGTGAAGCAGGCACCTGAAAATAGCAGTGGTCCTGAGACTTGCAGGATGATCTGTGTGGTAATGCAACAGGATGGTGAGATTCCGGTCTGAAATGAAATCAAAGATGGCCACCGTCAATCTCGTGATCTTGCGTGATTCAAGATGGAGACCGCCGGGACCAACTCCCGCGGGCCCAAGTAGTGTAGAGAGATTGCAAACGCCCCCACCACCCGGCAATAAACTCTTCCCCCCCCACAGAAGAGGGCAGATAGTCACAAGTGCGTGGCGATTGCAGCAAAAGCCGGCGATCGCGCGACGCGAAAATGAGGCTGAGGTACAGGAAACCTGTGATAGTGCATTGACAGGCCTCAAGCAGGGGGGACAGAGACACAGGTGGGGAAAAAAGGGGGGCATCAAGGAGTTAGCTAGAAAGTATAAGGAAATTGACAGGTAAAATGTGAAACATCAAAAGTATGAAATAAATAAATGCTGTAAAATCTAACAGCAGGAGTGAGTACTCTGACCTGTATCCTGCTGGAGCAGCAAAAAAAGAGGAAGTGTGTGGGCGGACCTATGTTTATATACTCTGTGTTTCTTCTTTTTGATTGGTTAATACTTTGCTGCTGGAGTAGAAGTAAAGAAAGTTAATGCAAAATTGGAAGCCTCCTATCATGTGGTAAAATTACAATTCATTGGCTGAGACATTGTAAAGATTGTAATAGTGATTGCAGTGACAGGCTGTCTTCGTGACTTAGATCAACTGCATTGGCTACAGGAGGACTGCCTGGATTGTCAGGCTGACCCTCAGACCTCTATCCCAGCACAAGGTAGATAGGTAGGGTGTGCTATGCCGCCCTCGCATCTTTAACGCCCTCCTTTTGGACAACAGCATAGCACACCCTAATGTCGTGATTGGGTTAAAATTAAAAAATAAAAGTTTATTAATTTGGATATGATAGGCACAGGGCTATAATCATTGCTGGATTAAGACTGCATAGGACTTTACCCAGGGTGTCAGTGTAATGCTTTCAAGGCTATTTCCAGTAAACTCTCAATTCACCATAATTCACGTCTTCACTATATACAATGATTTCTCCCGTTCAATGAACTATGCAATAATGTACCTGTATGTAATATCTAATAAAAATAGTGTTGATGGAGAGCTTCTGAATACCTTTGATGCTTTATTAAGGTTGGCAACCAGATATACCAGACATATTAATTCCTCATAAAGCTATACTTTTTCAAAATGTCATTTAAAACAGTTACAGTTGTATTGCCATTGAAAGATTTTGTGCATATTTAAAATATGAAAACAAAGGTCCCAGGATGTGCGCTCAGAGCTTCCTGTAAACATTAATTTCTTTTTAAAAATAAAACAGCTGAGCAACACTCACAAAAGGTGGACTCCAGAGGTTGCACTGTCAGTAGAATTTGTTGTCATGGAAACTACAAAAAGGAGACGACTGAAGGAATTACAAATACAAGCATGGAACTGTGTCTGACATTGAATAATGCAACAGAATTCCATTTCTGTCCTTAATATTGCTTGAAAACTCAACTGCACTAGGAAATGATTTATAATTATATACCTAGCAAAAATTAGATTCACTTCTGTTTTTTTTTTTCACATTGTGATGGTATATTTAAATTTGAGGGCCATAATAATGCAATTTTGCGATATTTTCTAACGTGGGGCAAATCACCAGGGGGCCTGGAAGTTTGGAGTCACTGGCAAATCAATATCTATTTATCATTAACAATGCCCTAGCTATTTATAAGACTGCACATCGCGCTTCTCATTATATTGTTTCCATCAGCACATCTGCTCCCAGCCACCCGGGTGTATCCAAGATCAGTTTATGCTGTATAAAGAAACAACCTTTGTGGACACCATTTTATGAATAATAAATAATACATATACAGTATACATTGTCAAAGGTATCGATCGTTTACCTGAAGTAGATTTAAATAAAATTCATTTTCACGTAGTTAGAGGTTAATATGCATGAAATGTATAAAGTGTGCATTTAAAAGTATTAATACATGTAACCATTGCAGTGCCAGATTTATTTCTTGCAACTTGCTGGGCACATCCCTCTCAAGGGTTAAATAAATTTTAACTATATTTAGTCATTTATTAATGTACCCAAAATGTGGCATTTACATTTATTAAAGAAGGAGGGTTGCATATTAAAAGATAGCATAGACACGTCATCACTCTCTTAATGTGTGACTGGAGGTTTTTTTTTTTGTTGTTTTTTTTTTTTACCAATGAGCGATGTCTCATTTCTTTGTTCTTTGGAATGTAACTCATTATTCCTACATGTTTTTTTTTTCATAATATTTTACTGGTTGAGTAGAGATTCTCATTTGGTCAGTGACCATGCCATTCTCATCATTTGTTGTGAATTATTCAATAAAGTTATTTTTGTTACCCTGAAGAAAAATATGGAGATGCAGATTGAATAATTACATAAAGAAGAAATATTCACAGAATATTTGTTTAGATATTCATTCAAATCAAAGTCATTCAACATTTAAAGGAGTACAAAAAAATATATATTTTCTATATTTATCTATTTGCTGTTAAAACTCTTCTTGTTTAAATAGATATAGAAAAAAAATTTTTGACTCACCTTTGCTTTAAATGTATATTTGTTTAACATATGTCCCTGAAAGCAGCTAATTGGTTTGTTTTAAACAGATTCTATTTAACACGTTCCCTAACATTTGCATTTCCATGTCACAC